ATCTCCATACTGTCCATGTGAGTGTTTCTTGTTGGAAAGCCTGCCTCTTGTTTGCAGAACTCACCCTCCCTGCACCAGATAATAGAGGAGTTCTGTTTACAGAGAGTAAAGGGAAATGATTAGTATACCAAATAATCAGCACCAAAAATACAGCCACTGATCTCCAATGACTTCAGTCATTTACATCCATTATTCATCCAAATATGTAACAATAGGTCCAAAAATCAAGCTTTCAAAGTATTTTTCATCTGCAGTATTAAGAAACTAACTATACAGAGATAAAGATCTTAATGTGACCTTCTCTGATAATTGTATGGATCAATACAATTGTGGACTTATTTTGGAATGCAGAGTATATCATTCTTTATGTCATATACTGTAAATGATAAACTTAATGTGTAAGTTTACATCTGTTATATTACTTTCATTATTTAAAAGGTCAAATGCTCTTTCCCAGCACAGATGCCCTACCTGAAAGTCCCCTCCTACATTAACCTTTCCTGTAATCCTAACCCTCACATTAACCCTTTTTAAATATCTACTTCACTCCTTGTTTACAACTCTTCTTTGCCCATATCTTAAAGGGGGATAATTAAACAGAACCTGTGCCTGGTCACGTAATACATTGTACACATATGCCACCAAAGTCCTTGTATCCATAAAGTATTGCTAATTACTGTGCCACAAGCGACAGTATTACAGACACATATAAACCTCAGGACAAAGAATATTTTTTTAAATATAAAGAATGGAAAAAAACTTTTCCATGTCCTATGTTTTCTACACACAAAAGGTATTACTTTTTCTAAACCTACCTAACAGAACTTCCTTAAACCAACAACTGTGGAGACATTAAGCACTTTGGTCAGGACTCTGTAACATACAACACAGTGTATAGAGTGCATCAGTTTTGGGTGGAAAGTGAGAGGGGGATAAAGAGGGAAGGAGAGAGTGATAGGGGTGAGAGAGCAAAAGCGAGGGAAGGAGGGAGGGAGAGAGAAAGAGGAGAGGGATAGAGAGGGAGGGGGAGAGAGAGGAAGAAAGAGAGGGAGAGAGATGGAGAGGGGGAGAGGAAGGGTGAGAGACAGAGAGAGAGGAAGGAGAGATATATTGGTGAGAGAGCAAAAGAAAAGGAAAAAGGGAGAAAAGGAGAGAGAGAAAAAGAGGGGAGGGAGAGAGAGAAAGAGGGGGAGAGAGATGGATAGGTGGAAAGGGGGAGAGGAAGGAGGAGAGAAAGAGAGAGGGAACAAGAGAGGGAGAGAAGGGTGAGAGAGAGAGAGTGAGGTAGAGAGAGAAATAGGGAGTCTGAGGGATAAGAGTGAGAAAGGAAGGCAGAGAGAGAGCGAAAGGTGCAGTACTCCTGACTCCTGAACACTTATGTTCCTCCTTCCTAGCTGGAGCCCCGAACTTAGCCAGCACCCTTTCTATAAGGGTTGTGTACAGGTGTGCAATTATTAGGTGTTGGCCACTACTAAATGATGGACCCAGGAATGGAGATTTCATTCCTCTCAATTCTCCCGGTTCTAGGATCCCATGCCAAATCCAGAAAACCTGGGAAGAACTACAAAGTCAGTTCTTTGCCAGTAAAAGAACTTGCTGCTGGAACCGCTTAGCCCCTCTGGCTAAGTGTCCTGGGTGACTACAACACCCCGTTCTACCATGGGATTGTCACGCAATACCACAATATATATACAGTATATCTATATATGTATATATAGATATATATATATATTTATATATATCTATACACACACACCAGCCACTTTATAAAGTACACCTTCCTAGTACCGGGTTGAACCCCCTTTTGCCTTCAGAACTGCCTTAATTCTTTGTGGCATAGATTCAATAAACATTTGTCAGATATTTAGATATGATAGCATTGCGGGCCCAAAGTGTGCCAAGAAACTATCCCACACACCATTACACTACCACCACCAGCCTTCATCCATGCTTTCATGTTGTTTACACCAAATTTTGACCCTACCATCTAAATGTCGCAGCTGAAATCAAGACTCATCAGACCAGGCAATGTTTTTTCAATCTTCTATTGTCCAGTTATGGTGAGCCTGTGAGAATTGTAGCCTCCGTTTCCTGTTCTTAGCTGACAGGAGTGGCACCTGATGTGGTCTTCTGCTGCTGTAGCACATCTGATTCAAGGTTCGTTGTGTTGTGCATTCAGAGATGGTATTCTGCATACCTTGGTTGTAACGAGTGGTTATTTGAGTTACTGTTGCCTTTCTATCATCTCGAACCAGTCTGCCCATTCTCTTCTGGCCTCTGACATCTATTAGGCATTTCCGTCCACACAACTGCCGCTCACTGGATATTTTCTCTTTTTCAGATCATTCTCTGTAAACCCTAGAGATGGTTGTGCGTTAAAATCCCAGTAGATCAGCAATTTCTGAAATACTCAGACCAGCCCGTCTGGCACCAACAACCATGCCATGTTCAAAGTCACTTAAATCCCCTTTCTTTCCCATTCTGTTGCTTGGTTTGAACATCAGCAAGTTGTCTTCACCACGTCTAAATGCACTGAGTTGCTGACATGTGATTGGCTGATTAGCAATTTGTGTTACCAAGCAATTGAACAGGTGTACCTAATAAAGTGGCCGGTGAGTATATATATATATATATATATATATATATATATATATATATATATATATATATATATATATATATATATATATATATATATATAATAGATAGATAGATAGAAAGACTGTATATGTGAACATGTGAATACAAATTGAAATTCCTCTATCCAAAAAGTGAGAAAGATAAATAGAGATAGATAATGTTGCTAGGATAAATATCTAGCACATAACACAAGTAGAATGCACAAGGTTTTGCTATGGCATCTTCAGGTTTTCAAGGGAAGAGAAAGGATTAGAAGACTTGAAGGTGAAATGGATCAGAAACATGGATAGAAAATTAGATTTATCTTAAAATCATGCTATGATTTATAGACTTATAGCTCAGATGTCAGGTATTCTGCTAGAAAGAATCACTTACTGATAAAACTTACAATTAACATTCTCTGGCATCTTTCCTGATAGATTTACCTTCTTCGTTTATTCTTCTCTTTCCCTTTTGCTCAGTCTTATGTGAATAATCACCAATTGCTTCCAGCAACATGTTTTGCTCACACCAGAACAGAAAAGCGAAGGGAATTCCACTTCAATAACAAGCTATGTGACCCTTGATAAAACAGATGGAAACATGCAGCAAGAATGATACTCATTGTACAGCCATTTAACTCATACATTGATTTTTTTAATGGAATACCTTTATCAAAGCAGCACAGCAAATGTTCTACCAGTCCCAGTAACTATATAAAAGTAGTGGTGGTGGTGGGGTTCTCCCTGGAAAATACCACTTACTTTCCACAAGGCAATTACTACATATTGTAGAGTGAATATTGTCAGGATGGCTTACCTTCCCTTCTATAGCTAGTCATGTCAAGTCATATCCATATGCAGGTGTGTGTATGGATGATAGATAGATAGATAGATGGATAGATAGATAGATAGATAGATATATAGATAGATAGATAGATAGATAGATGAAATGATCTCCCAGAATCACTATTTTTGTTATTTAAATATATTCTAAGCCTACAGACTTTAAGTAGGTTGTGTTGGCTGCTCTTTAAAGTGGAAGTAAAGATTTTTTTTAAAAACTGAAAACAGTCAGGTTTATATAGCAGAAGAGACTATCAGGGTTATTCATAAAAGAGTGAAGAGTTTGGAGAAGGCAGGAGAAGTGAACCATCTAGGACAACATAGCTGAACTGGAAAGTGAGCTGAATTGGAGAATTTCTCCAAATCAGCTATTTTGGCCTAGACTGTTCTCTTCTCCTGCCTTCTCCAAACTCTTCACCCTTTTGTGAATAGCCCTGTATGTAAGTCTCTTTTGCCAAAAAAGCTCCTACCTGTCTGTCAGCATATTTTTTCTGGTGCGCTAAGCTGCCCATGCACACCTCAGTGGACAGGCTCAGCGAGTTGCTGTGCCACAATTAAGTAATTCTTGCGTGAGAGTTACATCACAGAAGCCTGACCAATAAAAAGGCTGAAGACACAGAACCTGGAGAGGGGATTGCAGGCAGTGCAGTGCTGGAAAGGATCACTTACAAGGTAAGTTAGCCATAATGTGCTAATATGCTGCGCATACTAGTTTATAATGGCAAAAAACTTTCCTTCCACTTTAACTCAGCTGAGAGCTTTTGATTCCTCAAAAACATGCAGCATAAAAACAGATGTAGCAAACCTTTACAACTAGACCCTTCCAGATCCACCTTTGTTATTTCAGCTTGATTTTTCCCACATTAAGATCTGCTCTGTCTTAGTTCCTTGATCTGTGGACTTCTTTAACTACTACATTACAGAATAAATGTTTAAACCTCACTGCACAGAAGCCAAAAAGTTATTTGAATAAGTAGAATAAACTACTTAAAGTAATTAAAAAGAAAGCTGACCACCAGTTTTAAGCAGAGTAGGCAGGACAAACAAATGTAGCTTTTCTCTTGTTCTAAGTATATACTATACATAAGTGGATATAATCAAAAAGTTAGAGAAAATGACAATTGATGATACAACTAAGTCCATGTTTTGCAGGTATTAAATGTTCTTTGTTTCTCAGCTAAAGGAATGATTAATCATGTTGCCACCAGTGAACTACAATAAAAAAATAGAAAATGACACACTGTTGATTCATAGTCAGGAACACACAGTGTGGTGACAGTGTGGCACAGACTAGGTTAAATGATCTCATAGAAACCAGAGATGCTTCAAATATGCATAAAGGTTAAGTGAACACTATAATCATGAAACACCAGTGAAAAAGACCAAAACCCTTCAGATTCCTTTTGTTGGTGGTGGCTTTAGTGATTTATCTACTTTTGGTTAATGGTGCGTAAAAGTGGTAGCTATCTCAAGGAAAAGAGGGGAGGAGGGGGCTCTTCCCTTGCTGACGTATGATTGAGAATTTAAAAGGGGGCTAAAGAGATCCTGAGAGCAGAAGCAGAAGAAACAGTCACAGCAGTTTCCTCAGCTCTGATATCACTGTCTCTGCAATCAGCCAGGAGATCTTATTATAGAGATGCAGTCCTGTCGAGTGCGGTGTGTCCTGACCCTACTCTCACTAGCTCTGGCTATGAGCTCGATCTCAGCTGCACCTTCAGACCCGAGACTACGCCAATTCCTACAGAAATCCCTGGCAGCAGCAGGAAAACAGGTATGTACCCTCCTAAATTGATCTGTCTGTGCATCCAGCTTAAACACTGCCAGGGATAGGGAACTTTTTACTTGCAGAGTTATAAACTTTACTGACAACAATCTTTTTATAAATGCTTTCACATGATTCGTACAACTTTCACCCAAGATTCACACACTTTTCTAACTGTAATTGGAAAAATGTGTGAAAGTTGTTTAAAAACATTTATAAATTGACCCCTTATAGAGTATTAAATATGCCTTTCTATATGCTATCTGTCAATAATTGCAGACATGAATACAAAGCATGCAACCTAGCTTTGAAGAATTCAACATTTAGTTGTATCATATTATTTACCTGACCTGATTCTTCAGTATCAGCAATGCTAGATTATTGATTAATGTGCAGCTTTTTTTTTTTTGTACTAAAACTGTTGGCATCAGTGTTGTGCTATCCGAGGTGCTGAATTCATTGCAAATGTGTGCTAAATTTACAGAGACTGTGGGGGACATACATGAGAACTAAAACTTATGCTTGTGGTGCAGTTGCCTATGGCAACAACATTTCATGTTTCTATTGAATAAATGTAGGGTTGGCTAATATGGGTATCAATTTTGATTTCACTTTGACTTGGTTTTCATTCCACAATCCCCTACCTATGATTTTTGAGCTGTGATCATGGAACATAATTTGTAAGCTGTTGTAAACTGCACAATATCCACAATTCACTGTGACATAAGAGTAAAGGCTGAGATCACTTGAATAGTTTAACACAGTATCTCATAACTCCTTTCATTGAAAACATTAACTGCTGTATATTGTCCAACACATGCTGCAGCACAACATGAAGTTTAGTCTTGCAGTAAGGGCTGTCTAATGCGGAATTTATTGCACAGCACACAGTAGTTTCAGAACTTCAGACACCTCAAATGCCCCAAATGACAATACGTCATTTACCACACTGACATAATTTATGGCTAACATGGATTCATATTTTTTTTTAACATTCATTGGCTTTGTGATTAAATCTCCTACATAGCTTCCTAAAGATGCCAAATGCTACTTGCAATGCACTTACTGATTTACAAGAACAGTTGAGACATTTAACTAATATTCCCAACACAACGAGTATGTGTAATTGTCATAAAACTCTTAAGCTGACAACCCTTTCCTCCCTCTTTACAGGAGTTGGCCAAGTACTTCCTGGCAGAATTACTATCAGAGCCATCCCAAACAGACAATGACGCTTTGGAATCTGATGACCTGCCCAGAGGTGCTGAACAAGACGAAGTCAGGTTGGAACTAGAACGGTCTGCAAACTCCAGTCCAGCTATGGCCCCCAGAGAACGCAAAGCTGGCTGCAAGAACTTCTTCTGGAAAACATTCACATCTTGTTAGCCTTCACCAACCTCCCTACCCCTCCTTTATTTTCCTACTCCTCCAACCCCAGACAAGCCTTGATCACACAAGCCGAAGACTGTAAATACCACACACAGTTATGGTGAATAAAATATATTAATTTGGAGTTGTTTAATAAAACCTTTAGTTGAAATTGTAAATTATTTGCTTGGGTTGTGATTTCTTGATAGTTCTTATGATATGCACTTTTCAATTCTCACAGATGTACTATTTTTTAATTATATGTTGCAATAAAGCGTGTTTCAAGCTATGAATGTAATCTTTCATCTTTGTCATCATTTTTTAATGTAATTTTATAATGAAGGTGTATCAGGATAGTACACAAGCACCATTCCTATACAAAAGGTTTCAGGTCTGATCATTGTTGTATAGCTGGTATAGAGAATGTTGGGTTAACCTCTTCAATTCTGGAATAAATACAAGGTTTGTTGCACGGGACTATAACAGAATTTACTGATCTTTTTAGGAAGACACAGTAATCAGCTCACATTGTTTAAAGACACTCAGTAGTTTAATCCCATCTCCTTTGTTCATAACATTTAATAGAATGATTCCCAGTTAATCTTTTTCATAAAACCGCAGAAGCTAAAAAGACTATAACGATATAATTACTCCATATAATATGTGGCTTGAACCTTGCTTCAGTTTCCTCTTTCATTCTCACACAGCATAATGGCTGCTATTAAGAACCAAATTACTTTTTCTATCTCTTTTTATATTCTTTTTTATTCCTGCTGTGTATCTCTGGTTGGTCACATTTATTTCTTGCAGGCAAGCAAGTGGTTGCACTGGGTCTTAAGGTATTTGCAGCCTTCACTTGTAGTGGTCAAGTACTTTGACCTTTAATGGCTTCTCCTGGCAAAGTGACTTTTTTATGACTGTTGGGCACTGTGCAGACGCTAAGCTGATGGCCTTTTTTATCTTCTATAGTGAATTGTCCTATTTCCTCAAGGCTAACCATGTAAATGTGGTAGCATTTCCACTTTTTTTTTTATTAATCGTAGTCATCCAACTCCTGCATTGTAAATATTCTTTTAGAATAATTTTAACAACACTCTTTTATTTCTGTCGCTTTTTTTCCAGATCGACTGTGTGTAATATGTATTCTATGTTAGGCATGGGATAATTACACTGCTGCTGTTCATCATGTAAACTGTTTAACAAGGAAAATTATATTTATATGTGAGTATAGCATATCAAATTATAATCACTGCATGGAAAACATTGCAGCCTATTCATCGAGTACAGTCCAATACCTACACATATTTACATATAAACTGAATCCTACATCATCCTTGTTTTAGTGAATACGTCAGAAGTAAGCATGTTATTAGTTTTTACATCCCAGCCTTTGCGTCTCAATCTCATCTGCTTGACAACAACAAAAATCCCATATACTACTGGAAAAATAGAGGGGTAATGCGGGTAGCAGAGACTTGAGATCGTGCTTACAATATAAAACAGTTGCACATCTTGAGTTAGATCTTGGTAACTTGCATGTCTGGGCAGGAAACTGTAATGCTAAAAATCCCAAGCGTCGTAATTGTATATAAGCCATAAATACATGGCGTTGATTTGTGCTGACAAATGCCTGAACATGGAGAATGATGGGACTGAATATGCAAACTATGGTAAAACTGATTTCAGGTAGTGCCATTGTGTGTCTTGAACAACATCAGTTAAAGCCTAACTCCAGGCAAACAGCTAAATACAAAGTTGAAATACACGTATAAGGGCTGTTTTACCAGCAAAAGTATTTTTATTTCTGTCCATCAAGTCCGAAGATGTACACAATTCTACCACACAGCACAGTCCTGCTTGGCAGGGGAGGGGACCTGAAGCAGAACACTGATGAAATAATCTCTCTGTAGCTCTGCTCTTTCCTCCTATCAGAATGCTCCTTGCACTGCAACACATCTGATGGGCAGCTTGTGCTGCTTCCCCCTCTCCCTCTCTGAGCTTTCCTGTTTAAAGCTGATACCTAGTCAAATTCAGGTACTTACACTGCTTCAAAAGGCACACAATAACCTGTTTGTTTGACTTTACAAACCACCAATACAGTTTAATATTAATGCTACTTTAAAGCAATACATTGAATGATGTATTAAAGTAGTATTAAACTCTCCTTTTTTCCCCTAATAATGAATCCAGTTTAAACAAATATACATCGCCCAGCAAAGTATTTCTTACAGTCATTAGGCTTTTAAACAGCTGGCTCCAACTCTCTCAGCTCAGTTTCCCTGAACTTCCTGTCCAGTACAAGATCGCAAGTGAGAGTGCAGAGTCCAGCAGCTGTCCATCTAATAGCTTGGATAATGAGGGACAAGAGAGGAGAGCAGGGTGCAGGGGAGGGGATTGCTTTGCTGTGCCTGTGTATTTGTGGAGACACACACAGCTTACTAGCACACAAAAGGGTGGCTCCATAGGACCCTGCAAGGGAAAGGAACCACTGTAAACAGGATATCAGTCCTGGTGCTTAGGGGACCAGCTGATTCTACAGAAAACACAAACTTTTAAACGTGAAGGAGCAGCATCCATTGTAAGTGATTATGAAATATCTGAAAACATTTTAATTTTAATTAAATATAGAGCTGCATTTATTTGTGTCCTTTATATCTGCCAGGAGTTCAGCTTTGGTTTGATCTCACATTTAAAAAAAATTAGTTTTCTATTTGAGCTACTGAAAGTGAAGTACAATGAATGCATAGTTGTGATCTGTTTTGATTCTAAAATTTTAGCATAACATTTTTAAATGTACCATATTACATGAAAATGTTCCTCTTGTGATATTGTTAAGAAGTCAAATACCGTGTGTTAGAGGTTTAGTTGTCAGGCAGGTGTTTTCTTGACAACTAGCTCTTTTTTACAGCAGCCCATTAAAGTGAATGGTATGGCCCCATGGGGAAAAGGAGGAAGGAATATTAAAAGGCAATGATCAGCGGAAAGGTGTTACGATCAATTTCAGCATACCTTTGATAACCTATATGCCCTGATTTAAGGAGCTATTAAAAAAGATGGTATACTTGTGGAATGTTAGTAAGTGGAACAAACAAAAATATGGAATGCATGTTACAGATTATAAAAAGCTTTATGACAAAGCCAAAGTAAAAATAGTAAGTCCATTAGAACCCATCATCGAATTCTTGGCACCATCAAGGTTGTATTGGATAGTGGGACATTTCGAATGGTTTCAGTAGTTCACTAAATAGTTGAGAAATATAACAGATTTTGACCCAGCGCTGGTTCTGAAATTGACACAATGGAAGCTGTTTAAGATCTCTCATACCTCCCACAATTCAAAAACATGATACTACCACAGTCTTGCAGACTGGAGCTGTTTAGTAGTAACAGAACTCTTATACCTGCCACAATCCAATTACATGCTTGTACATTATCTAGTTCCTACCTGATACTGGCCCAAATGCAATTGTGTCTGTCTGCAATACCATGGTTGGGACCTTATACTGTAAACTGTATAGGAGAGAGGCTGCCATCCAAATCTTCCTAGCTAGCCAGAGTATACAGAGAATGAAAGAAAAAGGTTTAATTTAATAGTGACATAATGACACCTGTGGAATAATTCCTATAATGAAGGATGCAAAGGGCTGCAAATAAAAAGAAATCGCAAGTCCCATTGTTGCCCTTATTTTAAAACTAGGATGGGTAGAAAAAAAAGAAACCACAATGTCTAAGACAAAAGCCTTAAATGTAATGATAAATCACAGATATCAACATATGCATTTCAAGCTAGCTCATGCCACTTTGTAATGATGTTATTTATGATGTGCTAATGCTTCCAAAAAACTAATGTTAAAGCAATGCTCCAGGCTAAAAGTATAGCAAAGATTTAGCAAATTATAATTTAGATAGAAAACACTATACTTCCCCATTAGTATAGCACCAGACAAAGACGTTGAATAATTCAATTTTTGGGTACTTACACCACAAAGGGCATTTTTGCCCATTAACCCCCTGTCGATGCTAAAAGTGAGGTCCCCACTAGTACTCTCTGGGCACCCAGTGGTGGAGTGCCTATGCTTCCTCTATGTGCATTCGACTACAACTTTGTATTGCTAGAGAACTGGTAAGCGGTGTTGCACTGGGATACCTAGGGCTCAGCAGAGAAAATGAGGGCTCACCTTCAAGTGATGTGTTAAATGTGATGCGTTAAATGTGTTGAGCGAGTGTGGCTTAATGTGAATGATAATGCGCTATACCAAACTGTAGATTATTTAACTGTTTTCTGTTCTCTCAGAACTCTGTTCTGGGAGTTCTTACAACTGCAGCATGTATCTATAGTCTCTACGAAACTACAAGACACAGCACGGTGGGAGGTTTTCTGCCTTTCTCTCTGTTGCTCACTTTCTCTCCTTCATCAGTGGTATATTTAAAAATCACTATGCCCACATCTCCTGCATTCAGCAGAACTCTGGGCAAATACAATCTTAACCCTTGCACTGGGACTTCCCCAGTGCTTGTTTTGTCTAGGGAGTTAAAATAACAGAGTTATACTCACCCGAACCATGATCCTGAAGTGCTCTGAGACTGGTCCCTTGACCCTCGCTCCCCCTCTTCTCCAGTATTCTAAGGTCCTGTGAGTTATCACGTTCTATATACAGTGTATAGGATGTGAAGAAGCCTAGGTACATTTCATTGGTGGAGTGAAGAAGGAGACAGACTGGAGAGAGCAGTGTAGGAGCCAGCCAGGATCGTGGCTTGGTGAGTGTAACTTAGCTCCCTAAGCAAAATGAGCACTTAACTTGCAGTCCAGAGGTAGTCCCAAAGTTCTACTTTAAACCCTAGATGCTGCTGAGCAGGGCATTAATAGAGTACTTAGCCAGCTCATCAAGTGATATCAGTTACCGAGCATGGATGTAAGCCCTGCTGTGCTTTTATGTACTAATGGGTCACTTGTACTACCGAGTTACAAGGCTATTTAGTTGTACCACTGAATCACCAATAATATGCAGCAGGGTGGTGGAACCCACCAGAGAATCCTTAGGTCTTCCAGGAGGCCAATGCAACCCTACAGATAAGTGGTACTTTGATGAAGCCTTCCATGGAGTATGATGTCTGGATTCTCATGTAAGTTTTCATGTTAAAAAATGACTTCCTCATCATAGCTAATTACAAATTGGAGGATCTGCAATGGGGAATGAGCTCAGTGTAGAGAGTAAATCAGTTTAGCAAACCGGATACATTTCGGTTTCCCTGAATCATTGGCTTAGTCAAGATAGGGGAAAAAGTAGTCTGT